AACCCAGGACTCGATATCTTTGATCACCAAGTCGGGAGAAAGAATTCATTGATGTGCACTCGGACCATGGTAACGAACGAACAATCGGATCGAATAAGAAACCGACTTCAACCCCAGTATAAAGTCATGGGATTCAAAGCGCAGCGTTCTCTCACCGTCTTCTCTCTCTTCCAAACACACCCAACTTCACCCTTCCAGCACGTCGACAACAATATGTCCACCGAACAATCCCGTCGTATCTGGTTGTTCTCCCACCCTCGAACTACCAGTAACCTCTTCATGCGACTGATGGAGGGACATCCAAACGTCACCCAGACCCAATATCTATTCTTCGCGTCGTATTTCCTCGGCACGGACAGACAAGCTGCAGGAGATCGAGAGGACTACAAGTTCATGCCCGCCTTCCCTGTATGGGAGCAAAAGAACTACCAAAACAGCATGGACGCTACGCAAAAGTGGATAAAGGAGGTCGAGGAAAAGGTGAACGTCTTTCGTACTTCAAAATCTCACACTGGCACGACATACTAACAATAACCTGCACCCCAATCGTCATCAGGGAAACATCCCCCTCATCATGGACCACGCGATGATGCTCACGCCACCAACCGTCCCCAGGACGTCCATGCCCGAAAAGCCCAAAATAGTCGATTCCAAACTTGACGGGGCGAACGCCGACAGAGAACTCCCAGTCCCGAATCCCACATTCTTCCCCGACCGTTTCGCCCTCACCCTAACCCCCATATTCACCATCCGACACCCGGCCCTCGTCCTCCCCTCGTACCTCAAAGCTCTCTCAGCAGAGGCATCGTTTGTCGAAAAAGTCTTTGCAGAAGAAACAGCTACATCCACGTCGTTCAAAAACCAGATACAAGTCTTTGATTTCTACAAAGCCCTGAACAATGGTGCAGCCCCGATTGTCATTGATGGTGAGAGACTGGTCAAAAACACGCAGGAGGTGATGGGTAAGGTCTGTGAGAGGCTCGGGTTGGACGAGACGAACATCAAATATGAATGGGAGTCGAAGAATGTCAAGATGCCAAAGACGTTGGACGCGTTTACGGGGAAGGTGTTGCGGTCTACGGGGGTTATTCAGGACGCGGTGGGTTAACTGGATGAACTCCATTCTATAACGGTTCTGATGTCCCTTTGACGAGATAGATGTACGACAAGCCAATCGATATCGACGAACAGAAGAAGAAATGGGAGGAAGAATGGGGGCAGGAAGTTGCAAACAGGATGGAGGAGCTTGTGCGCTTGTCGATGAAGGAATACGAGTACTTGCTGCAATACAGCCTCTGAACGAATACCCGATTGTGGACTGGACCATTCTTTGTGTACCGGATAGACAGAGTTCTTCTGTCAATTCTTTCTTCTTTCTGTAGCCCGCCCGAATGGCGGATGTCTGAGGGCTGGATTACTGAAGCAAATGCATTTACCATTGTCTGGAAAGATTCGTGATAGTCGTAAGCGTTACCCTCTCCGGAGAGAGAAGACATTAAATTCAACATTGAGAGGATCTAAGACCCCGGCGCTCTCCCGATAGAATCCCCAACCTACGAGACATGTCAGAATGGATTCCCCAAAGTCAACACTCGGATCCACACATGCCTTGACAAGAGTTTCCAATGACATTTTCGAGTTGTTCAAAAGATCCTCGTCGAAGCTATCATCAAGTTCGAGTCAGTCGTTTTCTCGTTTCTTGAACTACAGACCAACTCACTCGATACATCCCTGTGGAAATAGCACAACAATGGTACTCCCTCCGTATGCGAAATACCCCAACTCCTCCCCACGTCGAACGGCGGAGCCCTTCTCTGCGCCTTTGGTCCATAGGACACTACCAACCAGAAGCGCGCCGACAGCTACGAAAGCCATCTGCTTCCCAGTAGGGGTATGGGTAAGGTACAAGACGGATCTGACGTTGGTGGTCAGAACGTCAAAGTCTTGATTGATTGCTTGAGGGTTGACTAGAGCGGATGAGGTGAAATCGAAGAGCATTTAGTGGAAGAGGAACGAAGACAGGCGAGGTCACTCACCTGTATAGTACTGCCCTTCAATATTATCGACCTCACCAACCACTCCGTCGATAGGACAATGGAAACGGTGATAGTCCTGAGGTGCCAAACGGAAAATGGCGACGGACCCCCCGGCGAAACTTTGTGCTTTGGCTGAATCGGGTTGGAGGTTGAGGATATTCGGGACGGTGAAATTGGAGCCTTTCACCCTTAAAACATGTTAACGCTACGTGCGTAGGGGAGGTGGAGCACATACCAGAACTGCCTGGCCAGATCTGTGGTTGGGTACACGACGAGTCGGCAGTCCGCACCACTGCATATGGAGAGGGAGTCTTCAGCGTGTTGAACAGGCCTTGCGCCGGGTTTTAGTTTCCTGAACGAGAGAGAGGGTGAGCGCGGAATGAAAGGGTCGAAACGAAAGGTTCGCACCGGTAGAAGAATTCGTTAAAGGTACTGTATTTCTTCACGTCGGGTTCCAGCAATTCGTTCAGGCTGATACCGTATGTTTTGATGAAGGATGGTATTGATTTAACGGATTCCAAACTATCGTATATTCTTCCTTGCTGTACAGAAACGGCTCAAAACGACTGTCAGAGGGATGAAATACGAAGCGGGATTACCTTCACCGACTGGTCCCTCAATAGCGCACTGACCGTCTTATTCTTCAACAATTCTACCTTGAGTGAACCGTAGAACAACTGGCATATAGAAGTTTGACTCAGACTGTCGGTCAATGCCAGTAACGGAGAAGATTTACAAGATGCATTCCGATCCTGACAGAAGAGCAGACAACTTCAACAACGAGACTCGAAACGCTAGGACGTTACTCACCTCGCATAAATTGGCATACTCTCAAATCTCAGTTTCCTAGTTTCCCGAATGACCACAAAATTCCCAATATGATAGCAAGCAGCGAGCTTCTCCAGCCCAGGTACGAGCTTGTCGATCCATGGTATCTTAAATAGCACCATTGGGTGCATGTGAATGCTTTGGGTGACATCCTCTGGATTCCGAGCCGAGTTTTCTACGAGTTCCTCCAAAGCTTTTGCTAGCTGCTCCGGTTGAACATCTGGTAGGCTTTCCAGATTTACACTGGTTTCCAATGGCTTATTCGATGCGTGAATGTCGTCGTCTGTGAGTGCTGTCACTGTCATTGGGGTATCGTCGCCATGTGAACTCGACGGGTCAAAAACGAAGGTATTGGCGCCGCTGGTATCCGATTCTTTGGGACCTTTGGTACTGAAGACTTGCTTGAGAGAAGCTGGAATCGAGAAGCCTGGTATAGGGCAAAGTGCCATGGTAAATGGTGGTGGCTTAAGACAACGTTAATGCAAGCATTAATTTGTTTTGCCGTCGGTTGTCGCTCTCCTCAGCGTCCTTGACCGATCACGCTATGTCTGCCACAGAAAAGGAGAAAGGAGGCCAGTGCTGCGCACAGTCAATTGCCCAGCACAAGCTAATTTGGAAAGGCACGCCATGACTGCCCGATGCCTTGTCAAGACCGGGACTCTGGGAACGGCTGAGAACTCATTCCCCTTTTTGGGAGCTATTTTGTCATGGGGCGGCGGAGCGCATTTCTATATTCGGCGTCTCGCGACCCACGTCTCATCATCGACCACCAACAGGACTTATAAAGCGGGCCAGAGATGAATAATCTCATTGTATGCCTCCTTCGTCCAGTCATCGATCAAGGATAATCCTTCTCATCGCCCTTGCTCCCGTCTATATAAGCCTGCTCATCTATTTCGTCCATCCCAATCCCTCAGACCTCAAACTGTCCTCTCTCAGATATCTACAACAGCTATCGAAAGCATCTATCCCGATTTTCAACAACTTTATCAGACCCATTTCAACCACAACACCAGCTATGTCGCCAGTACACGTTGTCCCAAGGAGAAGCGAGGAGCGAGGACATGCTGATCATGGATGGTTAAAGACTTTCCATACGTTCTCGTTTGCAATGTGCGTATATTGCGGTATCCGTCTTCTGGGTCTGAAAATTGACGGCCTTTGAAGGCATCAAGACTCCGATCATGATTCTTACGGGTCTCTTCGTGTCATAAATGAAGATCGTGTTGCAGCAAAGGTGAGCTATCAGAATCAGTTCACTCATCCTGGCTCATCCTAATCGACCATGTAGCGTGGCTTCGGCACTCATTCACATCGAGAGTTCGAGATTTTCTCATATGTCGTCGATGGAGAACTGGAACAGTACGTGCCCACTCCTCTATCCATAGGTCCATTCACTCATCTACCCATAGTAAAGACTCGATGGGCAATACTGAAATTCTCAAGCGGGGTGACCTCCAACTCACCTCCGCCGGTACCGGAATCTCTCACTCGGAAAAGACACCTCCAAACGCGACGAAACCCGTACACTTCCTCCAGATCTGGTCCGTTCCCTCAGTACCGCGTCTCCTTCCTAAATACTTTACGCGCCATTTCTCGGATGAGGAGAAGAAGGACAAGTTTGTCAGGGTTGTCGCACCTGTCGATGCAGAGGGAGTGCACAAAGATCAAAGAGAGGGTGAGGGCCCCGCGCCTGTGCAAAGTCCATTGACTATGTACGCGACGCTGTTGAGTCCCGGGAAGGTGCTTACTGTCCAGATGGAGGGGAAGAAGGGATACGTGCATGTCATCATGACAAGTGGGTACAAGGAAGGAAAGGCTGAAGGTGCAAGTATCAAGGTGGCGGACAAAGAAGTTCTCAGGGAAGGAGATGGTGCTTATTTGAAACAGGATAGTGGGGATGAGGTGGTCGTGGAGAATGTTGGCGATAGAGTCGCGGAGGTTCTATTGTTCGATATTGCATAGACGTTTTCATCTTTATGTACTTGCTTTCTTACTTGCTTTCTTATAACTAGGTTGATTTGGTTTAATTATCGCTAGATGTACTCATACCAGTATCACAAACCAACTATTTGCATTGATCTATTTGCATTGATCTTCCTCTATCCATACTGCAGTATCCAGGCGTTTACACAAGGTCTAATAGTGTAGCGGTTATCACAATGGATTCTGACAACAGCATCGTCTCTCAGACTTCCATTAACCCAGGTTCGATTCCTGGTTAGACCTCTACGATCTCGCTAATCCATGACTTTTTCTTTCCCCGATCGACACAGATACTCGCGTAGCAACGATCCACCATTCCATATCTTCCTGCACGTATCTTATCACACAATTTCTCAATGATTGTTATTCCCTTCTCGCTTCATAATCTCGTTCTTACGCCCTCCTACTCCAGGTGATAATTGTGCAATGATAGGCTGGCATTGGCAACCCCTGACTCCATATTTTGCTTCTGTGGTCTCTTGTGCATTTATCGCGAAGAAAGCGGACGGAGTACTCGAGTCTCTGAACCTGGAAGTTAGCATTGGCAACGTTACACGTACAGAGAATCTTCATGTGTTTCTCGAGATACTAGGCTCTCTTCTCTGCCGTCAGGCTTCGCTGGCAGCGATTAACAACGTGATGCGTGTTTTGATATCGACCTCTTGTTCTTGACAATGATATGCACTGGCCCCCGCCAGAACGATTCCGACTTCTCGCGGTCCGTCGGAGTGGCCTACCGCCTCCTCAAAAGGTCTACCGAATTACCCAAAGTTTGCAAGACGATTCGGACGGGCGTCAGCGCTTTCCTTACATGTTCGACACTTGGGAAGGCGAAGTCCAGTCCGAAGAAGTCCCCCTGCATCATCTCCATGATACTGACAACGAGAACAGTCGAACACCCAAGTATCTGATACTTACCCAACACCGACGCCGTCGCCGATCCAGTCGTTCATTTACACTGGCACTGACGCCAGAATACATGGTTTGTGGAGGAAGATCGCCATTGAGGTTGTCCTCCCCTGATGGATCACGTCTTTCATTTCCTGAACGGAGATGGATTACGACCGCTGACAACTCAAAATTGGCTGGTCTTCTGGTGAGATCTCCGAAAACTCCAGTGTTCGAACAAGTACTCACGCTGCATTCTTCTCTTCAAGCTTGGACCTGGGATTGCGACAGGGACGTGCCGTCGGCGTATACAAACCTCCTCAATAAGTATCTCCGCCCTCTGCAGGAAAATAAACTGAAACTTTGTTTGTCACTTCAAGTTCGTAGCTGAGCGTCCTTGGATACACTCTGGGTCGGGTTCTAGATTGCAGTGCCTCCTGCTTCAACTCAGATGAAGCACGCTGATGTATATCATGTGGAGGAAAGAGGATCACATATCATCCCACCTTTACTAGTACACGCCCAGTACCGGGTGTTCCTGCTTTCTCGGATGAACACTCATCTGAAATGACGCACCCTCATCACTGGCCGGGACCCAGGCTCTCACGGACGTTGAATCCTGATTCCTATGTCACTCACCGAACTCTTCAAATTCCGAGTCGCCACCATCTGTTGGTAACAATGACTTTCGTGCTCAATGTCAACATAGCTCCAGGAACGTGTTGGACCTGAGCTCTATGCATCTATCTCGCCACTAGCTCGAACTATTTCTGTCTACCTCGACAGCGGCATCATATGTTCATTATCTTTCACGGTCTCATATCGTTCCAGTCGCTACTCGCGCCGACTTCAACCAAGACTCTGTCAGTCATTTGCAGTGCTAGTGGCAAGAGGTCGCGCTCAACGTTCAAGTTCTTAATTGACAGGGATACAGCCAGACGGCGGCCTGATGGTCGCTGTTTCACGGGTAAAGGGACCTTGGCCAGTATTTGGAAGTCTATTTCCTATGGTGCGGTATTCTTTAATTCCCAAGATCCATCTAATTTAGAGAATTGTAGGCTCGTATACATACAGATACCCTAGCATGCATACTTCGTGTCGCGGAACACTTTGACTAGCGATCGGTTCCCTGATCATCCTCGTTGAGTGGGGGAGGCGAGTGAATATGATGCTTGACAAAACAGGTTCTCGGGAATGTTCTTCACCGGACTATCTGTTAATACCCCTGTACCCTCGGCTCAGACTGAGTGGCCGCTGGTTCAAGTCTGCATGAGGAAGGAGGCCCCCAGCGCGTATGGGACGATTCATCTCATTCGCGATGAACTTCAAATTGCTATCCCCAGAATTGACTTCGGTATGTCGTCAGTTAGTCCGTGCCGCCTCCCAGTTATGAGGTATGCGCAGTCCATTCGTGATACCAACCCCCAAACACGGAGCGGAAAGGCTGACTATTGAACCACTTTCGCTGTCGACTCAAATGTAGGACGGGAGGTTATTCAACGAGAGTCCGGGTTTCTTCGGTGGACACGGATTATCCGGTATTCTATACAAGGTCTTACTTATTAGTATTGAGTTATTCTCGTTCTTAGTATGTCAGCGGACTGGAACAGGCATTGTTGAAACAAGGGCGTTGCTACCAGGGACGTCGGCATCTTCCGGTCAGATGAGTGTGGCGCTCGTGAAGTTGAGGGGTCGGGAGACGTTACGGTAGAGACGGGATACAAGATACTATCACCGTCGCGTCGGGCATCCTGGACTTGGGTGTCCCTTGGGCCTTCGTAAGTAAGCGAGAGTAAGATTGGTCACGCCGAGCCTTGGTATTGGACATTCGGAAGAGCGGTGGTTGCGCGTCCCGTAGACTGTAACCTACAAGTTCATTTCAGAGCTCCAGACCGACCTATTAGTATCTCCTGTGGCCCCTTTCAATGAGCGTCAAGACCGCCCACGACAGCCTAAAGCTTCATATATGAATTCGAAGCTGTTTTAGTATGGAGTTTCTCGTCAGCTTTACCGAACGACGGGGATAAGCCATTAATATTCCACTACTCATCCGTCGATTCGAAGCCGCTGCGATTTCATCGACCTTCAATAAGATATGAGGTATCAGTATCGTAAATGACTGGTGAAAAAATAGGCCGCCTGAGGGGAGTTAGGAGGACTTGCCACTTGAGATCCAGTGCTTTGCTGGCAAGGTCAATGAAATTGTCGCTATCTGAGATTCGCAACGTAACTTGTGATACAGATTCGGAATCGTGGGCAACAGCTTGATAGACTCCCTCCCAGTCGATCTCACTGCAAAGAGGCGTCTCCTTGGGGCACCCATCCCTACGGTCACAGCGTGAGGGGATTTGTCGACAACTGTAAGTCAAAAACACTTCTGACGCTCTGTTTAATCACCGAACGCCGGCCACGTTAGAATCTTCACGATCTCTTGGTAAGGGGAACGCGACATGACTTCATTTAAGAATACTCCAGAACGGGTGGAAATTGAAGAGAAGTTCACAAAGATGAACCCGCATACTTGGACATCACGGTGCCGTCGAGTAGAGCCTGAGGACTCCAACGGCTATATGACCTGGAAGGTGTCAGCGAGTAACGCCGAGCTAGAAGAGAGTAGCTGAATCGCGGTACCGATATCGTAATGAATGCTGGGATGGCAGAGTCTCGAGAAAGGCCGAGCTCAGGAGGAGTTGGGATAAAGCAGGATACGTGGAACCGAAAGGTAGGATAGTCCCAGAACTAAGTGGTCAATCGGATGCTTGAGACGCTCTTACTTTTAGTGTACGACTGGAGGTGAAGGATCCAGTACGTTTGTAGTACAGACAATTCGCCGAACATCGGAGGATTATATTCACCGACTGACGAAGAATCGTGATAAGGTGGAGAAGTCTCTAGACAACACAGTGTAGTCCAAGTCTGAGTGAAAACCAAGGAACCAAGGAACTCAAACAAGCACTCCCGAGCTGCCTAAAAGCAGGACAACGTCGTTCAATCCTTGAAGCCTAATCGCCACTAAAACACCTTTTTTGAACGTGTCAATATGGAGTGAGTCCAACAAGGTGCGCCGTCCAGTCCATATCTTGGTTCGACAAAGTGGGATTTCGCATCTATTGAGACGGAGCTAAGGGCGTAGTTTGACAGTTATACTCCTTTCATCCCAGTCAGAATCTGATCGATCCAAGCATCCTTATACTCTGAACTTCGATGCAAAAACGCGCTTGAGCTCCAAATATGCCCAATGGCAGATGCTTGATATCCTGAGCTTGTGTGTAGGCTGGTTATTTGCGGCGTGATGGAGGCGAGAGCAAGAAGGGGAATTCAAATTTGCTGACCAGTACGCCGCGTGCGGCAGCATCATATCTGTTTGGGTAATTTCATTTACCAAGCCCTCTTAGCTCAGTGGTAGAGCGCGTCACTCGTAATGATGAGGTCGGTTGTTCAATCCAGCCAGGGGGCATCGCTTTTTACCATACGCCGAATCACCCCCTCGACCTCCCTCCGAGCCGAGGTTTAGCAGACTACATGACCAAGCTAATAGGGAGAGTATATTCCAGCCTTTTTCCCGCTGATTCATACTCAGTACAAATCTCTACATCGCCCTGGATTATCTCGGTAAAATTCGGACTGCCTTGGCAATATTGGCCACTATCAATCGCGCCCAAAGGCTTCAAATTTCAAATGTCAGGGCCAGTAGAGTTCGTTTTGATTCCGGATGCACAGGACGTATCCTACAGCCATTGAAAGGAACAAAAGGACATTTTGTCAGCACAAAAAGATCTGCGCATCAACACAGTATTCTAGCGAAGCGAAGGGCCCGGGCACGCCAGAGCAGAACGAACCTGAACACCTCCACATACACGCGGGAAGTGGGACGGTATCTGGTCGATATCTCTCAATCGCAAACCCCCAGTCTCGGAGGGGAGTCCAAATGAGGCTATCGGCGCACCCGATTTGGTATAGAGCGCTCAGGCCTTATGATCAGCTTGGCTACCTCGGACCGATCGTGCGTAGGCGCTGGCAGTGGTTGAACGACATTGGACTGGAAGAGAGAGAGAGGTATGTAACAGACAAGTCAAGTCATCTGTCTTCTAGGTGCTGTATCTTCCTAGATGATTCAAATGATCTCCGAGACCTTGACAAGAGGCGGCCATGAGACTAACTTTGACATCCAGTGTTGCTCCAAAAAGCATTTTCAGACCCGGAGGACTGGAGAGTTCGAGAGGTTGAAGCACGGGCCCCACGGGAGCAGTGATTCCAGATTATGGGCTCCAGGGCTCCGGGGACCGCCAGTGGGTCCTAGTGGGATCTCTCGGACGAGTCGGGTAAACTTGGACTCAGAACTAGCCCCTCAGGCC